CTGGTCCTTTGAGTCGCACGCTTCGCGCGCAACTCAAAAGGACCAGCTTCACACCACAACCCACCAGAGTCACTCCAAGAAACACCAAGCAGAAGAACCCGAAAAGAAGGCGCCAGTTGGCTATCTTTGATAGGGAAAAACGGAGTCAACAAAAAAATCTGTGTCAACAAGATGCGATGCGAAAAGAGAAGTTGACTACACTGTTGCTGAAGAAGTTCCTAACAGAAAATCAATCCAAGTGGATTGCATCCAAAGACTCAAGCTTCGTATCAAATTACTTGTGTGCTTACTAACAAAGTTGTTGAAATCCGCAGAAGTCCTCAAGTCTTTGAGAGACTGAATCTACGGCTTCTTGTGCTGTTTCGTCAAGTCTAGCATGCGATGAGTTTGAATCGCACATTGCGTCAAGAACCACCTCTCGTATGAACTGTGGATGTAAGGGCGCCTTTGTGACTACACTTTGATACGAAATGAAATGATATGATAATGATATGATCATGCGACAAGCTTTGATCATAGAGGGGAAGAGTGAAACGGCCCAAAGAATAGGCCCAAGGTATTGGGACTCTAGAAGCTCCTTCGGTTGAGTACAGAACTAGACCTTAGTCATCAGGTCCACGTAAGCACTCTCAAGTACCTTTCTACAGACATCTATAATTCTCTCTTTAACTCTTCTGTAAAGGTTGGGTTAGTTCAAAGTATGTTTTCTTAACGCCTCCCAATTGAACTTATGGTTGTTCAACCAAATGACATATAGAGTCTGTCCGGTCCTGGGAGGTACCACCTGTACTGATACCACAAATTGAACAAAAGAAAACAGTCGATTGATTCATTCAATCTGACGTCTGTCTTGCATCCAACTGTGAGAGAAACATTTGAACCAACGACTACAACAACCACAACCTCCACCCGAGTGTCACAGTAGGGTTTGTGCTCTTGTCAACATGAGCTCACCTTTCACTGCCGAGCATGTAGCCGAGTGGGCCTCATTTGGCACAAAACTGAAGGGGAAGCCTACGCCTAAACAGCAATTGGCCGCCAAGGAGCGCAAGGCAAAATGTAGCGAAATGAAAAAGCGTCTTGTTAAGGAGCTCAATGACCCCAACTGGACTGAAAAGAAAATCGAGAAAGAGCTTGATCGTCTAGCTGAAGAGGGTGGAAAGGTTGCTGAACGCCCAGAGTACCTTGATGGTCCCAGTGGAACCCGTGATTTCTATCCTCCAGAAATGAAGGTGCAGAACTGGTTGTTTGACAAATTTCGTGAAACCGCCAAGAGTTTCGGGTTTCAAGAATACGACGCCCCGGTTCTAGAGCATGTAAAGCTATACGAGCGAAAAGCTGGAGAGGAAATCGTTGATCAGATGTACAACTTCACAGATAAGGAAGGCAAACATGTTACATTGAGGCCGGAAATGACCCCAACCTTGGCACGTATGGTCCTGAACAAAACCAATTTGCAGACTGGTGAGGTTCGATTGACGTTACCTCTCAAATGGTTCTCAATCCCACAATGCTGGAGATTTGAAACAACTCAACGTGGAAGAAAAAGAGAGCATTACCAATGGAATATGGATATTGTTGGCGTCGATCATGTGAACGCTGAATTGGAGCTCTTGGCTGCGGCTTGCTTCTTTTTCAAAAGTCTTGGGATTGGCCCAGAAGCTGTTGGTATCAAAATCAATTCCCGTGCAGTCCTAGAAGTCGTTTTGGCGAAGCACAATATCAAGAAGGGACAGAAGGATGAGGATGGCGGTGACATTTTCGCAAAGGCCTGTGTCATCATCGATAAGCTTGACAAAATTGGTGGAGAAGCTGTGACTGAATTGTTGGGTGGGATTGGTGTGAACGCAGAGTCGGCGGCTGACATCTTGCAGGCTCTTCAGGCCCCAACTGTTGACGCCCTGACGGATCACATAGGGGCTGAATCAGAATCAGTTGAAGAAGTCCGGCGTCTTTTCCAACTTGCAGAAGAGTACGGAATCAGCGATTATTTGGTTTTTGATGCTAGCGTTGTACGAGGACTTGCTTACTACACTGGTATTGTCTGGGAAGCGTTTGATCGCCGTGGCGAACTGCGAGCCATCATGGGTGGTGGGCGTTATGATCGATTGCTAGAGCTTTATGGCGGAGAGAAATGTCAGATTCCATGCGTTGGATTCGGCTTTGGAGACTGTGTCATCATGGAGCTTCTGAAAGAATGCAACAAGTTGCCTGAATTCCAGGGATCTGGCGTCGACTATGTTGTCTGCGCCTTCAGTCCCGATTTGTATGGATCTGCAGCAAAGATTTCAGCGCAACTACGAGCTTGTGGATGCAGCGTTGATTTGATGCCAAGCCCGAAGAAAAATGCAAAAGCAAGCTTCAAGCATGCAGATCAGACTGGTGCAAAGCGAATGGTTTTCGTGGCACCCGATGAAATTAGTAGGAGTGTTGTGCGGGTCAAGGATCTTCGAACCAAAGACAAAAATGGCGAAGCCGTCCAAGTTGACTGTCCAGTTGACAAATTAGACACAGTAGATGCATTGGTAGCAGAAGCCGCAGCAAAATAAGCGGCTTTTTGTTTGTTGTTGTGCTCATCACATAGGGATAAACATACGCAATCTCAATGGGTTCACTTATGAAAATATTCATTCTTGCTGTTTTTTAAAATCCACTGTTGACATCGATTTGAAACCTAGAAACGACCGTCACCACGGGTCAATGCCCATCAGCTTCCGTCCAAGGGCGGAAAACTGATAGTTGGTTTGCTGTGACTCTTCCTCGTCCGATTGCTGACCGTGGAGTCCATTCCACTGGTCTGTGATCGGCTTCTTGGCATAGTATTTTCGCAATTGTTCCTTGACATACACTCGATTCAATTCAATGTCTGGGAGGAAAGAGCAGTATACAACAGCTCGGGGGACCGTTCCGTTGTGAAGATATGCATTGGCATGAGGAATTCTGACGTCCCAGAAGACCACACTACCTGCACTAACTGGAATGTGCTGGACACGTTCCATCACCTCTCTATCTTCCCTTGGTCGGATATGTGTGTACTCCCCAACACAAGTTGCTGGTACCAGCACAGTAGTTTCAACACCTTTCTCCTTTCTTGAAACTTGAGCTGGAAGCCTAGTCGACTTCCACGTTTCAAATTCGGCATGAAATCCCTTTGCAGCTTCGAAGCCTCCAGTGTTGGCATCGAGACTGTCGGTTAGTGATACGAAGCATTGTAGTGGTCTCCACTTTGCGACATCTTTATACATTTTATCGGGACAGCAATCCAAATGTGGTGTCAGACTTCGCTGGATCGGCCTCGCTCGCTTTTTCCTTTCCTTGTTTATTCCATCTCCTAGCTCTTTTGACAGTCTAGTTGGCAGGCGATAGCATATACGATCGATATAAGCGTAACCTTTTTCGCTATCGAATACTCCGTATGGGTGATTCGGTTTGGAATCATCAAAGAGTGAAGCTTTCCACAGTTGCGTTGTCATACGAAAGATGTTTGCTTTCGTTGAGATTTCCATTTTCCAGTCCTCGTAGAAAATATCCAAAACTCCTCCGCTCCCATTCGTCGAACTAAGGCCTTGTAATGCTTTGGCCGATTCCTTGTCATCGATCTCCAAGGATTTTACACCAAACTGAGACAGCGTGTTGTGAAGCTCATTCAACGCCTCTTGTACCTCCGTTTCGGTCAGAGCATCTTCAACCACCAACACACCATCCCTAAGAAATATTTCTGTCTCTTCCTCTGATAAATGAGACCTTTTAGATTTTGTTTGCATGACACAGCCGGTGAGATAGAAAATATGAGCTCAAATCATGTAATGTTTCCGATTGTCTTGGACATCAGGAAGAGACCACTACTCTACTGTATTAGCCATCGTCTGTAGCTCGTCCGTAACGTATGTTGGTCGCACGTAAACCAGCGAAAGGCCATACTCGACACCATTATGTACTGCTGAACTCTATCCCATATATAGGTACCGGTACCGGTATATCTATAAAGTACTTACAGAGATGCTGGCGTCAGCGGTGACTGGCAGGTACCATGCTGGCAGGCAGGTATCAGGGGGCTGCAAAGAAGATTGGATTGTCGGTTAATTCATGGGTGTCACTCAGGGTCAAGGATTATGAAGGTATGAGACAAAATGTTTTGTCTGGTGTAAATATTGGTGGTATTGAGGTGGGTGGTTCCGGTAGTTCTGTTAAGGCCGAAACCAAGCAGAAAGCTTCAGGAGGGAAAGCGTCGGATAGGAAGACTTTGTTTTACTTGAAGGACGCCCCAGGTGCGACCATTTGCTGTGTGTCAGTTTCCTCATCCGCTGGCGGACAAAAAGCTTGTGGAGAGAAGAAGGACTCAGCAACAAACTTGTGTGATATTGCCTCACACAGACCAGTAGTCCCGATTGATAAATTGCAGTTTCCAGCTTTGTACTGCCGCTGCAAAAAGCTGGGAAGAGGAGGGGAGACGTTCTATTGGGACTCTATGCCCCATATGAAATTCAGTGAGCTTCCTCCCACTAACACGGCTCCTTGGCTTACTGACAGAGATACCAAGGCCAGGTGGACAACTTGTATTCACGAGTTGAGAACTTCAAGTGCGACCGGAAGCCAGCCTCCACAGGCCTCGAGAACACTTAAGTTTGAATTGGATGAGAACTGTTGGGATATGACAAAATATGAGTTTTTATGTTCCAAGAAAAACTATTCAAGTACAAAGTTTTTGACACGTGCAATCGGACTTTGGTCGTGATGTCGCGATTTGACGCAAGTCTGCCGGACAATCTATATCCACACAAAAAGGGAAAGACCCAATACAAGTGGAATATCGATGTTGTGTATGATGCAGTAGGGAATGATACAAGATGTCCCAAAGTACTGTATTTTGTTAGAATAAAGCAAAATGTGCTCTATCATGAGTGCCTTTAGCGCTCAGAACAAACTCTCTGCAATCTAAATTTGTAATCGACTGTACAACACTTTCACGACAATAGTTCTCCTGTGTCTAGGTATACTTTGAGTGAAATTGTTCCTATTTGATTA